ATATATATATATATATATATATACATATGTAACAGTCATTAGGATAACTTAAAAAAAATTGTAAAAACTAGTTTGAGGTTTGAGCTAACTATGATTAGAAAAAATCTAGACATATAAATGCATAAAAAGAGATAGAAAGCATGCGCATGAAGAGAGATGGATTACCACCTACTATTACAATGAACACTGATGCCCTTACCATAACGATGGTGAGGGTGATACGGCTGATTCAAAATTCAAAGTATCAATTTAGTGAAAGTAATGTGTTGTTATAATGGATAAATATTTGAAGTTATACTAAGATTTGTGGTCATCATTATTCAAGGAAACTAAGAGAATAATTGAAGAAAAAAATTAGTCATTGCATATTGAGAAGATCTTGAATAGTATGTCTAGTCCTGATGAGAGAAAGGTGACGTTAGCTACATTTGCATTAGATGGGAAAGCTAAAAAACTGGTGACGAGGAGTGTCAAAACAAGTTAGGTGATATACCAAATATTCTGGCTAAGTGAGAGAATGTTGTTGAGATGCTCAGGGAATGTTTTGTGCCCTTTTCAACTAAAAGATGGATGCATGAAAATTTTATTAGATTGGTGAAAGAAACTAAGTCAATAATGTAGTAGGAGACCAAGTTCACAACACTATTGAGTCGTTTCAACATCAAAGGATATGAGCCAGCTCTTTCTCTCCGATATGAATGATTCGATTAGTCGGTTATGGATAACTTTAAGAATCCGCGATTACTTCGTATTGAAGAGGACCAAAAGTGTGAAAATTGAATTTCAGATTACTCAAAAACTTAAAATGTTACATAAGAGGAAGGGCGCTAAAGAGGCAACTTAAACAATTTAATCAGAAGGTTTCAATCAGAAGCAATCTCACACAAATGGAATCAATAGTTAAACTGGCAATACTCACATAGAACCTTATATTAAGTGTGGAAAGCTACATTGACGAGAATGTTTAATCCGCTCCCAAGTATGTTAATTATGTCTACAATCACTACATCAGGTGAGAAACTATCTCAATCATGCTCAAAAGTTTACAAAAATGCTAAATCAGAAAGGGATCCAACTCAGAGAAGCTATGATGATAGACTTACTAGCAGAAGAGGCCAGTAGAAACTGTTATTAAAAATAAAATTATGCAGAATATTCAACCTAGGTTTATGCCTTAACGCAGCAAGTGACTGAAGAGTGCTGCTGTCGATGCTAATAAATATAAATTTCAATGAGAATTATTATAATCTTTTCACTTTACGTCAGATGAATGTTGTTATAGTCATATTATCTTCTATCAAAAGGTTTGACATATCAAGTTAGATATGTAACCTATATTAATCCTAATAACGTTATGATTTATACTTATCTCATGATGATAAAGAGATGGAAGGTTTAAATTATTTAAGTATAATGTGAGAAATACACTTTTTGAGGACTAAAGTTTAATACGTTGGAGTGATTATAATAGCTCAAAAACTTAATATATTTAATTCAAATATTATTACTAAATTTGAGTTTAATACTTTACTAATAATGAAATTTATTTAATAATTTAAAATTTAATGATTTTTAAAATGATTTTAAATTAATTTTTTTTCCAAAAATAAGTGTTAATTATTTGATAACAAGACATTAAAAAGAAAAGAAAAAAAGATATTTGAACCAAAGCTAGTCAATTCCATTTGTTTAAAGGAGGTTAATCCCTTGTGGGTTCCCATATTAAATACAAAGAGCAGCAAGTGAGGGGCATGGAGAAAGCAAAGTGCAACATAAGCGTCGTTGCAAGAGAAATATTCATATTTTATCTTTGGTTTGAATTTATTAGAATTATGATATATATAAAGCCCAAGGGCAAATATATTAATACGGAAAAGATACAAAAATGTTGTATAAGAGGACAAATATAATATAGGGTTTAAATTTCAAAAGGTTTAGCAAATGGAATATACATATATAGCAATCAGGGTACTTCCATCTATTTGTTCATATTAGGTCTAGGTACTTTGTTGATTATACATATATAATTGTTTATCGCATTAGGAATCCTTTTGTTCATTTGAGTTTTGTGAGAGTTTGTGCTCCCTTTGTGGTTCCTGGATGGGGATGAAACTGTATCCAAGGTGTTGGTTGGTGACAGCTATATTCATCCATTATTGGTGGTAGCATTACGGGTCTCCTTCCTTCGTCAATCATTCGGGTGGTATTTTTTGTATCTTGATTGGTCGTGAGAGTAGAAAACTATTGTATATCGTATCTTTTATTTGATTGGTACATCTCGTCTTTCTTCCGATTATTTATTTCCTTTACTCAGATTGCCTTCTTTACTGTTATTGTTGAATCTTCTCCAAACCACCTCCCTTCTTCGGTCTCATTTGGTACCAGAGCTCAATCCTATTTGGGTTCACTATTTAAACAATTTTCAAAAGGTTTGTAAGAAAAAAACTAATGCAAGATGCCCCTGTGTTAGGTTGAAATCGAAAAACGAAGTAATTTGTATAGACTTAGTAGATAACACTAACAATAAAATTCATCTAATTATAGATAATTGAAGGTTTTATATGATCAACCATGAAAATACTATGGTACGAAACAAAGACAATTGGAATATAAAGATGGTGAATTTATTAAAAAATTTGAAATATAATTTACAGGTTAGTTTTATCAACACATGCAAACTACCAAAATAAATAATCGATGAATAAAGAAAAGGTATCATAGATTTCATAACATACAACCTAATCTAACTTAAATAAAACCTGAGAAATATTCGAATATGATGTTAAATGACTCGGAAATTGAGACATTCCATTGGCACAAATAAAATGGAATAGTAGGTTAGAAAAAAATTGGAACCTGCGAGAAAGAAAAAGATGCAGTAATGTTAACCACATCCCTTTAATTAAGTTATTATTACTATATTGTTCATATTTTGAGGGTGAATTTCTATAAAGGGAGACTATCAAAGAAAATAATCAATGGAACCAACAAGTGTTAGTTCAACCGAACCGACACTGGGTTTCATTTTTTTCAAATTCTTCAATTTAAGGTTATATTATTACTTTGATTTTATAAAGAAACATTTGAGGGTTTTGGTTTAGAGGAGGAGTAAATTTAAAAGACATGAGAGGTGATTGAATAAAAAAAGAAGAGAGAAACAAACTTGGGAAAGGGGAAGACCATTTAAACTATGCATTTAAATGAAAAGTTTAAATGCAAATATTGGTTTGAAATAAGTCTATTATAATTTTGTTAGCTGAATATTTAAAAGATTAATAGTGCAAACCAACAAGTTGAAAGAAAAGAATAAATAAATAAGATTTTATTGATTTAAAAAAAAATTCAAAATAAGAGATTGGTTTTAAGAATGATGATTCTTGAACATACAAAATAAGATCAATAATAGGGGCATTTTATATGCATGATCATAGAAACTCCATTGATGGAAGATGAGGATTAAAATGTAAAAACCGTCATTTAAGGTTAAATGGATAATTAAAATTTTCCATCATAATTAATAAACGTTTTCTTCCAAATGCAACACAATTTGATTATATGCTTTCATAAAAGAATTTATCAGAGTTTAAAATTTTTAGTTATTATTGTGTCACAATTCAGCAGTTGCTTTGTTTTAATTTTATAAAGGCTTTCATAAGGTTTAAATGTTGACTAAAAATATTAACCTGTATAAAGAAAAATATATTAAAATAAAATATATGATTATATTAGTTAAATAAAAAAGGTTTGAAAATGAAAATAAAACAACAGTATCTAAACCAATACAATTTTTGACAGCACTCTTTTGATAAGTAGATTTACTTAAAAGATAAAATGTGTTATGTTATGATAAATTACTTTATAAATATCTTTAGCAAATGATAAATTTAATAATATCTACACTTTTTTAATGAAATATTGATGTACCTATTTTAACATTTCGTTAAGAAACTTTTTTTTTTTATTGATGTAAGTTGCCGCCTGTTTATTATGTTACTTAAAATTGTTATATTATAGAATTCTAATTATCAACTGAGTTATCAATTATCGTATAACTCAACATGCTACTAAATTTTTATATCTGGTGAAGCTCCTCGAAGTTAAATAACAAACAAAAGAATTCTTATTAATAGAAAATAAGTAAATAAAAATTGATACTCCAAGGAATTGGTTGAATCTTCATTTAAGTTATTTACAATAATTGTTGTATTAGCATGACTTTTATAAGAATTGGATGTGAACTTAAATTTCATATTTAGTGGCTCTTAAATGTTTTGAAGTTGTTTTTAAATTATTTTAAAATTTAGATTAATATGTATCTAACATCCAATTGTCTATTCCTACCTTAATAAATTCCAAGCTTCCAAACTAGGACATCAGTTCCTAGAAAATAATTAGTCAATAAACGTGAATAGGATAAATGTGAAGCAAACATATTCCACTAACTAGCTATGGAGCTTTAAATTCATCATTATGCAACAACTGACACGTCACTGCCATGAGAGAGCATTTAATTGAACACAATGCAGATAAAAGTAAAAAAAAGGTAAAGACAACACAATATAGTGCTAAACAATGCCAAAGAAAATACTCACTCTCATCGGGGTAATCAAAATACTCTAAACAATGCCAAAGAACCCCTTTTCTAGAAGATATCTCCTTTATCTGGTCAAAGTAATCATGATTAGAACTGAAAAAACCAAAATACATAAAACTTCAGAATTAGTCAAATGATTTTCTTAACAACGAATAAGCTATAAAGATGATAGGAATAAAAAAGCTAACACAATAGTGAAAGCCAAGAAAAGATGAAAAATACAGTTCATTATGGCATATTCAAAATCTATGGAAGCCTAAACTTCGAGGGAAACAAAATCTTACTGCAATCATAATTGATGACATGAACCATGTTTCAGGATATAGTGGTATAACCAATGCATTTCTAAGAAAATAAGAAGGAAAAGGCAGCTAAGTGCTGAATCCAACGTTACTCAAGGAAGAAAAAAAAACACCACCTTCCTAGAGATACGAACTAGTCCCACAGTAGAAGAGAGGTTAAATCTTAGAGATAACTTGACATATTGGTCCATAAAGAATTTAATTGAACCTGCTAGACAATTAAAGGGAAGTCAAACAAGGTTACGAAGACAATTCAAATAAAGAGAAAAATACTCTAAAGAGAACCTAAGAGAGACATCAATGGGGAAAAAGTATAGGTACAAAATAAAAATTAAATTATGCCGATGCTTAATCAATGACCGCTTATTTATGAATGAGGATAGGTGATACCAAAGAATCCAAAATCCAATAGAAAAGCATACTTTATTAACGGCGGGTTACAATCAAGTCTCAGAAGAGGAAGAAAACACAACACAACACTAGAATCCTGTTATGGCGAGGCCGGACAGCAGGTGGAACAGCGACAAGATGGCATGGGTAAGGGATGGCAGGCGAAATAGGTGCCAGAATGTAGTGGAGGTGATTAAATCGGTATAGGTAAGGAGGGGTTAGGTAGTTGGTTATCGGCTGAAAGGGGTAGGTTGGGAGCAGGCTACGACAAACCTGAGGCTGGAATAGGGAAACTGGCTGCTGGAGGAGTAGGCTGGAAGCAGATTACAGCAAACCTTCAGCTGGAGGAGGGAAACTAGCTACTGGAGTAGAGCTGGGAGGTTGGCAGCTGGAGGCAGAAGGGGTGTGGGAGAGGTAGGCGGCAGTAAGGAGATGTGCAGGAAGGATGGCCGCAAGCAGCGGAGGACAGATTGGACAGCAGCAAGCAATAAAGGAAAGGTACACAACACCTCGAGATGAGTTACAGCCGGAGAACATTCTCGCAGTAAAATACAATCCTAGAAGGAAAAACAGGATGCCGGAGGCTGCCCATTCTAGGAAAGTACCATGCAAGAATACCATACTAGTGTAAACAAATAATAAACTAATTTCCCAGATTGAGTTGGCAAGTTTGTGTGAAAAAATCAAACAAACGAAATCCCACAAGTTCAAATCTCACTTTACACAAACAACGGTGCTATCACTTAAACAAAATAACAGAATTATGAAAACGCCCTCTGAAAAACGTAATGGCACGCATAATGAAATAAAAAAAGGTCAATAATAGTGTATTCACAACCTAGTATCCATGATAAAAGTAGTGTAAATATGCCATTTAAATCTACCTTGCATCGGAACCATGCACCGCGAAAACCTTCTTGAAAGCTTTTTGACTCAGCCTCTTGAGCAGCTTTAAAAGGCAGGAAAAAGTCACCATTATCCATATAGTGCAGTTCAATCAAAAAATATACCTATCAAACAAGAGATTCTTTAGAAGATTTCTATAAAATCGTGACAAAAAATTAAAAATGCTGAAATGAAAAACAAGCGGAGACCCCATGAGAGAAATGCAACAAGTCAAATTGTGCACAACATAGAAAAACAACATTTCACAAACTAATGTCTCGCTAGGATAGACTAAATCAGAAAAGGTAAAGCAACGATAATTGTTTAACAATAATAAATAAATGAGTGCCTTAAAGATTCAGGACACAAGCTGAGAGAAGTAAACACAAACACAACAACAACAGCAACAACAAGCCTTTATCCCATTAAGTGGGGTTGGCTAGTAAACACAAACACAAGAATATCATTTTTCAAGTACCATTACTACAGTTCAAAATCAACTATAAAAAGACTGCAGTAGACAGCAGAATTTATAATTACAAGAGGGGAAAACTTTTAAAAGAGGCTAATATAGAATGCAGAAAAAAAAGGTTTAGAACTAAAAACAGCCCTAGCATGCCCTTTTACAATAATTTAACACCAGACTTCATAACAGCTGTCTAAGAGGATGATCTCCATTCTCCATTAATGCCATTGCCGGCTATATATCCAAATGACTCGCCATGCTGATGCAATCACAAGAAAACATGGTCCAAACAAAGTGGCCACTCAGTATCACTCTTTGCCACGCGTTAGCATTGCATCAAAAAAACCACAGGCAGGTTCCCTTAAAGTTGCTACTCTCACATGTCAGTAATAGAAGCTACACCCAAAGAATTTGATTTAAACCATAAAAAAAAGTTTAATTTCTTATCCTGTCAATACTATAACGACGCCTACAGCAATTGCCCGACTTTAAGTAATTAATCATGGCCATTCCTCTTGTAACCGACTAAAAACTCACATCTGCTTTATATGTTGCTTTACTGCATCATAAAGTAAATAAAGGTTTTAATGAAAAGCTGCTAGCCTTCTTCCTGTTCTCTCCTTCTCGATACTCTTCATGGTATTAGAGCTATCATAGCCTTACGGCACCATCCCTCCTCCCTGCGACATGGCATCCTTCTCCTCCAGTGTCTCCTCCAACGGAAAACCCACAAATCAAAAAACTCCTCTGTCAACCGACAACCTAATACCTACCCAACTGAAGTTCACCATGAGCCACATCTGAAGCCTTGTCTCCACCCAGCTCACCCCCGACAATCACCTGACCTAGAAGACATAGTTCCTCGAATTATTTCGAACAAAGGGGTATGACAGCTTCCTCGGCGGCTCCTGCTCCTGTCCAGCAGAGCACATACCCAACAGCAACGACGTTCCCCTTCTCAATCTTTATTTCACCAAATGAATGTTGATAGATCAAAACCTAGTAGCAGCTCTTTTCTCTGTTATATTTGAAGCGAATATGGAAACCGTTTCACTGTTCAAATTCGCAGTTTCTCAAGTTTGACAGCAAATTAGGTTTAATACTCGAAATTAATTGCTCTTAATTCTTACCTAAAATCATCTACAGCTTTCCTCGCATTAATCCCGTTATCTATGATTTACTGCAGAAGGAGAAAAGAAAATAATTAATGGGCTTCATTAATTATTTGATTAATTCCTTAATAGGTCTAATAGCATTATGGAATTCATAAACAGGCATGTTAAAGCTCCCCTTTTAATCTCTCTAGGGCGTTGGCTTTACAGGGAAAGGAATCGCATGCTACAGCTTTCGGTGCTCTGCCTAAGGGAAGAAAGAAATCACAAGCAACTGCTCTTTTTTTCTACCTCCGTGCGACTTGCAGATAGAGCGAGGAAGAGAGAGAGATTATTTCTTGTAATCGTCGAGGTAATCGACGGGTGTAATCCTCAAGCTAATAAAATTTTTTGTAACACCGTGGACATAGACAATTTGTCAAACCACGTAAGTTTGTGTGTTCCACCGTGTTTTTTCTTGTGTTTGAATTTCTCATTCCAATTTTAGTTTTATTGTCGTTGTTTTTCACAACAACTGATATTAGAACCATGGTTCGGATTTGGGGGAAAGTGATGGCTGTAGATGAAGTGATGACATCAGAGATCGAAAAACTTAATGGCATAAATTTTGATTACTGGAGAAAGCAGATAGAGGATTACAAAGTCCATGATTAATTCCATGTTGGCAGTTGAATGAGAGTGGTCATTCGGTAATCTTCTCAGATAGCACCTGAAAGGTTACCAACAAACATTAGTACTGGCTCGGGGTAAGAAAACTGACACATTATATATGACTACAGGTTGACTCAACACTGTTGCTACTACAGTTGCAAAGAGCATGACAAATCTGTGGCATTGCAGACTTGGTCACATGAGTCAGAACCATGAAGAAATTTTGCCAAATGAAAATTCGAGCAAGTGGGAGTTAGCCATGAAGAAGGAGATGAATTCCCTGTCAGAGAATCAGACTTGGAAGCTGACAGAACTTTCACCAAGGAAGAAGACATTGCGCAACAAATGAGTGTACTGGGTGAAGACTGAGAGTGATGGCTTTATGAGGTACAAGGCTAGATTTGTTGAAAAAGACCTTCAGCAGAGGTAGGATATTGTTCATGTGAATGGAGTTGTAAGCAGATACATGAGTAACGAAGGAAAGAGCTTGGAGGTAGAAAGCTACGTTGACGCTGACATCTCAACTAAAGGTGTTACTCTTCAGAAACTAAAATTTTACTCAACTTCAGTTAGTCTTCTAGCATGAAGACAATGAGTTTTGAGTTGCAGATGTGAAGGATATCACGTTTGAAGAAAAGGGCGATGCAGCAGTAGATGATGCAACAAGTGGATGATACAGATAGTGTACCTATCTCTAAGTGGGAAATTTGTTGAAAATATGGAAATTGATCCATTGTTCAAATTGACAGTTTCTCATGTTTGGCAGCAAATTGAATTTGATACTCGAAATTAATTGCTAAAGTAATTGATTTTAATTCCTTCTCTAAAATCATCTATAGTTTTTCTTGCATGAATCCCGTCATCTATGATTTGCTGCAGAAAAGAAAAAGAAATAATTAATGGGCTTCATTAATTATTTGATTAATTCCTTAATAGGTCTAGCAGCTTGATGGAATTAATAAATAGGCATGTTACAGCTCCTCTTGTAATCTCTCTCGAGCATTGGCCTTACAGGGAAAGGAATCACATGCTACGGCTTCCTGTGTTGGTTTGATGCTCTGCCTAAGGGAAGAAAGAAATTGCAAGCTGCTGCTCTTTTTGTTTCTTCCTCCGTGCGGCTTGCAGGTAGAGAGAGAAGGGAAGGAAGAGAGAGAGATTTCTTGTAATCGTCGAGGTGATCGATGGGTGTAATCCTCAAGCTAATAAAATCTTCTGCAACTCCATAAACTTAGACAATTTATCAAACCACATAAATTTATGTGTTCCGTTGTGTTTTTTTTTTATTTGAATTTCTCATTCTAATTTTAGCTTTATTGTCGTCGTTTTTCACAACAATCTCCTCATTCATTCTATTATAGGTACCACTTGTGGACACTTGGCATGATATCTAGACAACAATCAAGCACCAACTCTAATCCTCTAACCACTCCAAGATCATCCAACTTAAGAACAAGCTCCACAATCTCAGTATGTTAGATAAACCCATGACCCAATACTTATTCAAAATCAAAGCCAAAGTCACCACTCTCATAGTCATCAGAGCTTCCCTAAATCCGAAGGACATCATTCACCAAACCCTCAATGGATTTCACGCTACTTATCATGCCTTCAAAACAGCAATCCGCAAAAACCTTTAACTAATCTCACTCGACGATCACTACACACTGCTATGCAGTAAAGAAATCAATCTCGCAAACGAAAGCGCTACGGAAGCGTCACCTCCAATTACTCTTGCCGCCTCCCGAGGCCGAGGAAGAAACTACAACACCTCCTACACATCCAACAACAACCGAAACAGTTCTGCCTCTTGCTCCAACCAAAGTACCCAAAACTCCAGTCACACCAACAAAGTCCCTTTGATTTGTGAAATTTTCACAAAATGAGTGTTGGTTCCGTCTTGACAAATCATACCAAACTCCTACAATGGAGACAGTAATAGACGCCTCAAACTCTGACTCTATCAATGCTAAATGGTGTCTTGATAGTGGTGCTACCGAGCACCTAATTGTTGAACCGAACCATCTCATACAAGCCAAAGACTACAATGGAGACAACACCGTCACTGTTGGGAACGAACAATAACTCCCCATTGCACAAGTTAGCCAATGGATCCTACCCAACCCCATGAGTAAGCTCTACCCACACCAACTACATCACATTCCCAACTTAATTTATAACCTCATCTCCTTTCATAAACTAACCAAAGCTAACTCCTACCCTATTACTTTCACCTTCGATGGTCATTGCATCACCGACCTAAAGACAAATCGAACCATCCTTAAAGGCCCCAACATCCGCAATCTCTATCACGTCATCGCTCTATCCATCAAGCGATCATCAACACCACTTGCTCTGATTCGGCTCAACACATTCCGCAATTATGGCATCAACAACTTGGACATCCATCACTCAAAAAGCAATCAATAATCGCCTCCAAAAATCCTTCTTACGCACTTCTTATAAATACTTACATTGTAATTCGTGCAAAATAACTAAGAGTCACAAACTTCCTTTTTTTGTATCTACTATCAAGTCTTCCTCTTCACTAGAACTAATTCATATTGATGTATGAGTGTTGACCTCAATTTTCGTGAGGTCTAGTATTTCTCATGAGAGTTAGGATCTAGCCTTAGGGGTTTTCCTGCGACTATCTTAGAACCTTAGAAGTGGGACCCGCCTCGTTTTAGTTCGACCTACTTCCGTCCTCTTTTGGAGCTTCGCGTGTGTGGTATCGACTTCTAGCACTTAGAAGGATGAAACCGACATGAGGAAGCCCAAAAGGGATTCCTATAGGACCTTTCCGGGCCCCCAGGGGGGCCTTTTGCACAATTCGCC